GTCATATGCAAAGCTGACATTAAAACATTATATATACGTAGAAGCAAATATCCTGTGGGCCAAACATCTTGTGGGCTACAATAAACCGACAAAAGTTCTTCAGGGTTCAAACTGGCACAAACACGTGGACACTTGGGGTTACGCTGGGGATATTGCTGGAACTAACACTGGACATGGCTCTGTGTGTCGGTGTCATCAGTGGCTTAAATGAATATAAAGTGCTATGTGGAAGGCTGGCTGCAGGCGATTAGTCTGACCTCCAATATTAAGCCCTTATTTCCCTGGGTGCTCCACATATTAGACCATCCTCCGGATATTTCACTGCAGAGGGTTGCACACACCAACATACAACTCGAAATGAGGAACATACATTACAAGGAGGAATACTAAATTGTGTTTTTGTTATTTATTCTGAACATTCTTATCTAAATCAAGGCTATTGGTTGGATGTCAAATAACATAGAAAAAATATTAGCAGGTTGTTAGCCACAACTTGTTAAAAAAAAGTACTTATATAATAAGAAATAAAAACAAAAATATATACCTAGAGATTTTTTTCAAGTAGCTTTTTCTGAGAAGAATCAGGTCCAATCAGGTAGAATGCAATAAATAATTATTGTTTTCAAGAAAATAAGCTGTAAATTAAATTCTGGTCTCAATAAAACTAAATTGATTTGTATTTGTTTGTTTTGTTACAATCTATGTGGGATCATCTCCCATTTGATTTATTTTATTCTTGCTAAATTACAATTTGATTAAGTACACTTGCCAGTGCTATCCTTAGTGCCATTGTCTGAGGGGATGGTGTATTTGCACTGCCATAATAAGATATGTGAGCATAATAGCAACTTGCTCTAAAAAATAACAGAGAAATAGCTCAAAAATGGTAGCCATTTTAACCCATTATCATCACTGTTGCAGGTTACTAATAGCCGGGTGCTACGTGTACAACATACCTTATATAAAGTTTTATCAACTATTTGTGGACTCAATGAAGGGGAAGGGGAACACAGTAAACAGTGGCTGCGTGCCAAAATGGGGTCTGTCTGAGCTTGGTATCTTGAATTCTGCAGTATTCAGTTTTCAAACATTCATGAATCACTCTGAGACAATGTGTAAGTAAATAAGTGAATAATCTTTATGTACAGTATATAAGCGCCTTTCTCCAGTGTTGGGTAGAATACTTTTGTAGGGTCGGAACTTTAACGCGTTAACACCACAAAGTTAGCGCGTAATTTTTTTTTGACGCATTTTAATCTTATGTGTTTTTGCACTGCGAAGCTTTCGTCACTGGGTGAGTTTCAGATGGACCGTTTATAATGTTACACCAATTTGAACATTGTGCATGTCTCCATAACTTTCATGATTATAATAACTCTGACAATTCAGTCAAGTAAGTCACAGGAGAGGGATTTTCTTTGCTCTCTCATGCCACATATACAGTAAGTCCCTGAGAAGGCGGTTTGTAAACACATTTATTTTTCCGTGTATAGTACACTGAAAACCTAGGACCCTATTAATTGATATGGTGAGCTCAGTCACGGTGCAAACACTTAACAGTCAACAGACTTGGATTGAGTGGATTATTTTAGCTGATCTAACCTTAAGCATTAAAAAAGAAGCAAGTATAAAATCGCAATTAAGAACCACGTGACAAATGGAGTACCTCACTGAATAAGTTATGTGTACCCCTGATTATAATAACGGCGTGAATGGAGAAGGAGGAGGCGGAGTAGGAGCAGCCCTTCATCAATGGTAAACTAAAAATCCATGTGAAAAAAATTACTTCTCACTGTTCTCGGGTCAAATATTTATATGCGATTGAAGTGCGATTAATCGAGATTAATTAATTACAAAGCCTCTAATTAATTAGATTTTAAAAAATTAATCGCGTCCCGGCCCTAGTATTCTGTAAAGTATTCCGTTACTTTGGAAAAAGTAGTAACTGTATTTTTAATTGTTAGAATACTTTTATATTTAAAATGTTTTAAATATATTATATTAATTATTATATTTACTTATTATATATGATCGGTTTTCCACCAAGAAAAATGTTTCACTTCTGCCATTAGTGCATATGGTACTTTGCATGCGCAACCACAGACTACGTGTACGCGCACACACACACACATGCGTTGTTTCTGTGTCCCGTGCGCTGAGGATACACAGCAAATATATGAGTGTTAAAATGTTAGGGACAGTGTTGAATAATGAGTGTTGGTGTTATTTTAACACCACACAGTTATAAAATAGCACTGCTAGTGTTGCTTGATACAGATTTGAGTTGTCAAATCATAGTGTTAAGTTTTTCACACAGTCAATGGTGTTGACGCAGATTTAAGCCACGCCCCTACGTAACGGCCGTCACTGACGTGATCTAGACGAAAAACTTTCATCTGCGCCATTTTCTCTCACGGGAATTTGCGATTCGGTAGAGGTAAGTGCTTAATTTGACTGTTTGACTGTGTGACTGGGTATTCAGGACTTAAGTCTTAAGTCTAATATGCAAACAACCTGTCAGTTTTATATTGTAGCATCAGGTAATAGCTAGGTTATAGCTAATATTTGAGCATGACCCTCTCATGTTATAATGTTGGTGAATGTCTGCTCCCTAATAATGAAACTAACCTACTGTGTAAACGGGAGTATATTGTTGGACTTAAATAGTGACGTTATTAGACAAAAAATGCTAGTTAGAGTTGAAAGCTGAAATTGGCAGTTTGTGGCAGGAGCAGTACGCTAACCAGTATTAAAAACTACATATCCCATGAACGTTAGCGGTTTCGCGGTCTTTCGCCATTCGAGGCCTGGAAAAAGCGGAGTTTTCTTTCGAAGTGTCTTTCCAACTTTTCCGAGTTTGTGTAGTCACAGCCACAGAAACTACGATAAAAGGTAAAGGAAGAAAACGGGTGGCATTCTGAGAATGTAACGAGAGAAGGCTTGGTAATAATGATTGTTGCCTAGTTAGCTAAAATAGGAAAGATTTGGCGAACAGGGGAAAATTAATATGATTGTAGCACTTAGAATTCGTGTGTAAACTGTTGCTTACTATTTCGTAATTGCTATACATACTATTTTAAATACATAGACAAATATATGTGAATTAATGTAGTAGCTAACGGTATTGTGTTGTAATATATCAGTTAACGGGGAGCGCGTGAGATGCCGGGGAGCGCGTGCAGACCCCTGGTAGTCAAGTCGAATATAATATTTAATACAATACGAAAATGTTCCCACTGACCATCAGTCAGATATTTCAAATAAATATAGATTAACATATTAGGGCCTGGGCTATAACACGGGAAGATGATCAATTGCCCATAAATAACGAGTTAAATAATGTACGCATTATAATTGCACGTAATTTTGCACCGGAACGTTATTTTCTGGAAAAGAATTCCGGCGGACTCATTTTACGTGCGTTCATGACTTCAGACGAAAACAAACTTCGGTAAACATGAGCTTTGGGTGGCCCCGTGGATGGGGATTTTGGATAAAAAATGAACGGATGGAAGTGTCTGAGCACGGTTGGGTGCAAGCTTTGTAATTAGGATTTCGCATATCACCGCAGCAAATTCAGCCGCAACTAGCGTGGACGTTAGCTTGACCCTGAGTACAAGGACCACTTTCCACTACGTGACTGGTTTAAGGACCAAGGTAACGGCCTGGACCTCTGTAGACCATTTAACTGTAGACAACTTGGAGTGGTATAAGAAAAGAGGCTGCAAAATGTGCTATATTTTCTTCATGTGCTGTTAACTTAATTTTAAAAATGCGCTGGTCTGCTGTACTCTGTTGAACAAAAAAATCAAATCATTTTCTTGCTTAAGATTATGTAAGTAGTTATTTTTCAATGGTATAGAAACAATACATGATTCATTTAAAACAAAGTCTCTAATTCAATTTTTTATATTGAGTCCTTTCCCTGATAGATATTTTTAATAAAGACTGTTTAAGGAGTAGTATTGGGCAGATAGGCTCAGGTCAATATGTAAGACTTGTGCTTTGATCCTATCCTGCACTTACAGGCTGTGCTTAATGCCATCAAAACTAGATCTAAATCTAGTAAAAATGGGATGAACTGAAATTAGGCTTCTGTTTCCTGTAAATGTTTGAACCATGTGAATGTTATTCTTAATCACTGTCTGAGATTTGTTTATTCATGTATATTTTATTTTTTTATCAAAGAAATGCTGGTTCAAGTGGAGTGCAAGGGTGTCCTGAAATGGGTTCAGGTACCAATGAAGGAAGACCACTATGATTACTTTCAATTCATTCAAGAAGGTAAAACTACTGTATAATCTGTGGTTCATCGTTTGGAAATTACATTAATTGTTTTGGATCATAGTTTCAGCTAAATTCAACCTGATAAATGAATCTGATGTGGCCCTGAAAGACTCATCAAGAGTTGATGTAGATGCTGACATTTTTGATGAGTTGGTGAGATCTGCTGCAGTGTCTTTCAAGGTGTTCACTGGGGAGTCTGGTAAGACACGGTGACATGATGATACAGAGTGTAGTGGCATATAAGGCGCACTGTTAAAATTAAAAGCTTTTATGTGCGCCTAATATGGTATCAATAGAAACATTATTTGTTTTCTTTTTAATACAAATATGATTTGCAATATTGGTAATGTTGCCTTATGTAACATATATTCTCCAACTAAAGTTAAATACTATTAAACCTTTATTCCCTTAGCTGAGAAAGAGGTCTCTGAGGCTTCCTTCTGCTCAGATGAGGGGTCATCCTTATCCAGGCAACTGTTAGAAGGACCGCCTGACAGTAAGACAGCGAAAGATGTAAGTAGTTCTAAGATTGTCAATAGGATGTCAAAACATTTTCAAAATGCATTAGTTTACATAAAACTTCTCTATTACAGATGGTCTATGTAGCTCTACATCAAAAACCTGGAGGTGAAGACGTATTGAAAGAGTACAACATGACCAAAGGCCTTTCTGATCAAACGAGAAGGAAACTCGTTAACATCCTGGTGGCTGATATGATTGAGAGTCATGGGTAAGTGATCAATTAAATACCATGGATTCTCTGAATGTTTTAATGATCTTATTTGCTATATATGTTTATATCCCCATTGTTTTTTCATATTTATTTCAAACATTTCTATATCGTTTCATTTCTTTCCCTTCTGAAAGACTGATGCTTTTTTAAATATTGTAGTCTGCTTCATAACTGGAACACTTCAAATATCTGTTACTCAGTTCTCAAGTTTTTACCCCAGGCATGTAAAACTTATTTAAGCTAAATTTCAAATTGATTCTCTTGCTTTGGTGTAGGAGAGTCCCACCGCTCAATGTCCGTGTGTCCTATGCCCTTGGAATAGTCACCCTTTTTCCCAATTTGAAGGATAAGGCGTCACCAACTGGTTATGTGAGTATTACAGGAAACTGTTATTTGTTCGTATGTAGAAGCTTTATTTTGAAGTCCTGATACAGTCATCAACTTTGATGGATTTGAATATTGACTCTACCTCTTGTCTGATAGGAACATTACTATGATCCTCGCAGTGGCCAAGGTTACTTGGCCTATAGACTCAAGACAGTCCAGCGCAATACAATGAGTGATTCCAAGAGGACCTCCCCAGACCTGTTGTCTGCTGAACAATATGGCCCCAAGAACCTGCGTGAAACATCGACATCTGAACAGCTGTCTGGAGATGAATGCAGAGAAGCAATATCTGCAATGAAGCATTCAGCAGACCAACCAGTTGTGAAGGAGAAGATGAAGGCAACTTTCAAGCATCGTCAGAGTATGCTACATGATCCAGACCAGTCTTCAGCCATCCTAGATCACTTTCCCAGATTTCTGGATACACCAGGTTTGGTAAGAGAAATGGAGAGAAGCTTTATATTCGGATTCTTAAATGTGTTGTGTACCCACCAGGAAGGGAGGGGGGTTATTAGAGAGAGAGATGGCAGAGAGGGGGGGGGGCAGAGAGCAGAGAGAGGGGGATACAGGGAACAGAGATGGATGAAGACGGGGGGAGCGAGAGCAGAGAGGGGGACAGAGCAGAAGGGAAGGAGCCAGAGCAGAAGGGAAGGAGCCAGAGCAGACACGGGGACAGAGCAGAAGGGAAGAAGCGAGAGCAGATGGGGACAGAGAGCAGAAGGGAAGGTGTGCAGGGCAGACAGGGACAGAGAGAGAGGAACAAAGACAGGGGGAGCGAGAGCAGGAGGGGGACAGAGAGCAGGGAGGAACAAAGACGGGAGCGAGAGCAGGGGGGGGTGCAGCGAGGGCAAGCAAGAGCAGATAGAGGGGGAGCGAGAGAGCAAATAGAGGGGGAGCAAGAGCAGATGAAGGGGGAGCGAGAGCAGACTGAGGGGGACAGAGGCCTTTTTGTCTGAAATGGGGAACACTGGTACCATGTTTTGACATGTTTTCTGTCTTTGTTAGATTAACCAAGACTTCAAGTTGTTGTTGGGAGAGGACACTTCAGGAAAGTTTATTTCAAAATGGCCAACATTCTACAAACCGAGGATCATCAGTGTCTGCAAATGCCTTCGCCCTGGTCCCCATGTGGATGACCTGCTGTCTGCTCAAGAGGGATCTAATGATTATGGTAAGTTGGCTATTGTTTGCCAGAACTGTGACTGTGTATACTCATGGGATGTGGGTGTTGTCATTTTAATCCACTAGGATGGGACAGTGACTTGGCCGCTATCCTACTCCTGGTTCATCTCCTGCCTCCAACCTAGAAGGGGAAAAAATTTGGGAGAATCAGTGCAACTGACGCCACTGACCATGTGGTCAAGTTCATGAAGGTACGTTCAGGACATAAATGATGACTGAATATTGTTTTGCCTCTTAACACTTAACTTGCTATGATTTGTCCCTTTTTTGGTCAGCTGTGCGTAGCTCATTGACTGCCATAGATTTATTATTACGCAAATTGAAAAAAAGAAAGGTTTTTCACTATTTTCTGTGTGTTTGGGGTTTGGCTGTAGACCGTGTTTTATTGTGCCAGCAGGTGGCAGCAGTGCTCTGTGGGTGTCTTGGTCAAAGTTTAGTGTCTGAGCGCTGTGAGCAGGAGAGACTGAGGCAATACAAGGCAGGAGGACTACAGCCAGGGAAAAGCTTAGTTTGAGCAGTAAAGGTTTTTCTAGAACTGACAAGATGTGGAGGGTCAGAGCAGCAGACCAGCGGTTCACCCCAAAAAAAGCAAAAGAAAAGCGGATTATCGCTCATGCTATCACTGAGCTTGCAGCAGGAGTAAGCAGAAAAGTCCGGCCATCGTTACAGCTGGCTCCTTGTGTGGGCTCAGTGATGGTATTAATGATTGTCCGCTTTTCTGTGGCTTTTGGGGTGCAGCGCTGGTCTGCTGCCCTGACCCTCCACATGATCTCTGCTAGCTCTAGAGTCACCTTTACTGTTCAAACTGCCTCCAAATGATGCCTGCACCTCTCTGTATTCTTCCTGCCTTCCATCGCTCCTCTCTCTCCTGCTCATGCGTCCTTAGATCAAACACCCACAGAGTCCTGCTGCCACCGTTTGGGTCAATCAAAAAACAGTCTACAACCAAACCCCAGACATGCACCTGAGCAAGCCCAGGTATGTGTGTGTCTGGTGCAGGTCTCCTGTTCCTTTAGAGACGAGCATGACTTTCTGCCTGGAGTTGGTTGGTTCCAGGCAGGGCCACCATTTGTCTGCCCTTTTTCTATGCGTCTTCAGTAATTAAAGTAGTACTAGAATTTACCATGCTGCTATCCAGAATATATAACTGCAATATGTGTTTATAATATTTTGGGTGTTCATTTTGACATGTTAAGATTAATTATGTTAAAAAAAACTGCTTTGAAGTCGCACTTTTTCACAAACGCTAGAGGGCGCCAAAATTGCAGGGATGACATAGGAGAATGATCCTTTTCACAGCAGTCATGGCTGGAATCTGTATGAGCAGCGAGTTAATTGATTAATCTGAGGGAGAATCTGAGGTTTCACTGTCATCTGAACAAGGTATAAACATATTTTCATCAGTTTTGTACATAATAGTGTGCAACTCTTTTAACCTTTTTTAGCCTTATATGTGAGATTCAAACTAATTACTTGCCCTTACGGTCCCCGGACAGTGAAACCTCCGATTCTCCCCCAGATTCATCAATTAACTCGCTGCTCATACAGATTCCAGCCATGACTGCTGTGAAAAGGATCATTCACCTACGTCATCGCTGCAATTTTGGCGCCCCCTAGTGTTTCTATGCGGAAGTGAAAAAGTGCCACTTCAAACATTAAGATTATTCATCTTAACATGTCAAAATGAACACCCGAAATATTATAAACACATATTATAGTTATATATGCTGGATAGCAGCATGGTCAATTCTAGTACTACTTTAAACAACACAAAATACTATTCCTAATTTCCCCTTAAACACTCTTAGGTGGGGACGAGCATGGTGACGTTCCTTGAGAGAGTTGGATCAGCACAGCCCTTCCTCCTCTGTGTTGGAGAAAAGAAGAGTAGCATCCATAAGTTTTACATCATCCTCGATCAGAAGGCCATTCCCTGCGTGGCGCAGACAGCTGTGGCTGCCTTCGACGAACTGTTTAAGGCCCACTTTGTCTTTGCTGTATCTTATGACGAGGCTTTGTGCAACTTCTACACCTTCATTCAGACAACGGTATATGGGATTGACATCGGCACGACCAAAGAGAGTCCACGGGTCAAGGAAATACGGGCAAAAATGGATCATATTGAGGTTTGAAAATGTTCACCTGTTTCATTTGCAAGTTGCAGCACAAAACTTGTTCTGTTTTTTTTCAACATTTGAAGTTCAGTCATGCTATGTATCCAGGACGTACTTTGCGTTTGAAATGGGTTGAGAATGGGTGTTCTTCTGTTTTTTACACCTATTGTGGATTCAAGAAACATTTAATGAGAGTACACAGAGACATTGTAGCCTCTTGTTCTGTTGGCCCTATGGACCAGGGTGACAGTAATGGTCATGTTCCTGATCCACTAATTGCAGTTTCTGTCATTAGTAACCCAGCTTCTGAAAAAAGACAGTTACTGGATATGTGTTGCTCTATTGTGGCTCAAGTACAGGCCTCTGGAGTTTCCGAAGGTACTGTGCAGTCTTTAGTTAGTTCAATGGAGGAATTAGTCAATGACGTTCATGTCCAAGCGCAGGATGCTGTTCTTAAAACTATTTCATCTGAAGTAACTGAAGAAACTCTAAATAAAGTTGAAGACTGTTTTCAGCAGCTTGAAAATCCCTTTTCATCCCTCAATACTGAAACTAAGAGGCAAAGACATTTTGAGAAGAAATGGAAAATTGTGGAGCCAGTAGAGCATGTTCTTGGTGTGCGTTATGATCTACGCAAAGATAGGACTACTGGTGTGTACACTCAAATTCCTGTGAACGACAAATTTGTGTATGTGCCTATTTTGGGAACTCTTGAGTCAATGTTCACCAACCAGGAACTCTGCAACTGTTTCCAGCAAGTAAAGCTTCATGAAGATGGCCTTTTCAAAGATATCAATGATGGTTCATATTTCAGAAATCATCCATTATTTTCACAACAAGAACATGCTCTTCAAATTCAACGTTATTATGATGACTTTGAAACTGCCAATCCGCTAGGATCTAAAAAGGGAATTCACAAACTTGGCTGTGTTTACTTTATTTTAAGAAATTTACCAATGAAACTGAATTCTGTTTTGATGAACATTCATCTTGTTGCACTATTTCATTCAGAGGACTTGAAAAAATATGGTTTTGAGCCAATCCTACAGCCTCTAGTTCATGACTAAAAAGTTTTGGAGACACAGGGAATCCAGGTACCCTTTTCAGATGTGCCAATTAAGGGGTCTATTATTCAGGTTACTGGGGATAATTTGGCTATACATGGACTTTTTGGTATGGTTGAATCGTTTAGTGCCACTTACTGTTGTCGATTTTGTTTAACTGACAAGACATGTTTGCAGTCAGTCTTTAGTGAGGATGTCCCAGACTTAATTCTTCGCACAAAGGAGCTGTACTCTGAACACTGCAATGCCATGGCACAAAATCCCACTCGAGTTCACTCATTTGGTGTTAAAAGAACCTGTCCCCTAAATGCTCTGCATTTTTTTCATTGCTCAGACAACTATGCAGTGGATCTTATGCATGACCTACAGTACTAGAAGGTGTTGTGCAGTATGAGTTAAAGCTTCTTTTTCAGTATTTGGTGAAGGACTACATTTCTTTAAACACCCTCTCTCAAAGGATTCAGAGCTTTAACTATGGATACAATGAGAGAAAGAACAGACCCAGTGGAGTCAAAGTTGATGATGATGGAAATGATCTCGGGCTCAATGCCATCCAGTCCTGGTGCCTTTTGCGAAATACTCCCTTGATTTTTGGTGACCTAGTTGCTCACAATAACAGTCATTGGAATGTTATTATGCTTTTGATTCAGATCGTCAACATTGTATTCTCACCTATTATAACAGATGGTATGACTTATTATTTGAAACACCTAATTTCTGACCATCACAAACTTTTTAAGTTGGTGTTTACAGATAAGAGGCTCATCCCAAAGCATCATCTAATGATACACTACCCCCGATGTATTAGGAAAATAGGTCCACTTATACACATGTGGTGTATGCGATTTGAAGGGAAGCACAATTTCTTCAAGAGGTCTGTGAAAAGTTTTAAAAACTTAACTAAAACTTTAGTAAAGAAACATCAGCATCAGTTGGCTTTTCATTGGGAGAATTTTTATTTCAAAAGATTACAGTTTGGCCCAATTAAACATGTCTTGACAAGCAATTTGGACGGCAGTGTTGCCTTGAGTTCCACTCCAACTTTGAATGTGTCTAGTGTGTCCACGACTTCCTGGGTAAAAGTCTATGGAACTGAGTATCAGAAAGGAATGTTCGTTTGTGCTAGTGTTAAAAATGAAATGCCTGTGTTCAAGAAGATTATCAATATCATCATCAAAGAGGAAGAAGTGTTTCTTTTGGCAACTGAAGTTTGTACCATGCATTTCAATGATCATCTGAATTAGGGCTGGGACAACGCGTCGACGTAATCGGTGACGTCGACGCAAAAAATACACCGACGTATAATATGCGCGTCGGTGCGTCACACACAAAACAAAGATGGCGGCGAGCGGTAGCAATGCGAGTGCCGTGTTAGAGAAGTGCAAGCCGGTGTAACGCTGAGATACACTGTCTTGAAGAGATGCACAGCCTCAGCTGTTTATCATGTAATGCAAACCTGCGCATGCGCGTCTCACGGCAGCCGAAGCAAACCAAGATGGCGGACCGTGAATTTCTTTAAAAGTTAAAATACGAACGAATTCAGACACGAATGTCACTTTTAATGCAATTTGAGGCGATATGTTGATGGTTCCGTTTTGTCACATGTGGGTTTTAAGAGTCAAAATTTCGTGCAAAGTTTAGTTTAAGCAGTCAACTGCGCCTGTGAAACCACAAAGCTAATGTTTTCATAGCAGTCCGCGGCTGCTGATGTAGGCTGATGACGCGTCCTGTGGCCACTCTACACTCTTATGTAGCCATGACAGGCTGATGGCTCCCACTGTTTTTGCTGGAAAAGCACTCTTTGTTTAGCTTAAAGCCTTCAAGTTTACATTGGTTACTGTTTTCTTTTAGTTGCTCTACACAAGTATTTGGCTGAACTTTTTCATATTTTTATTGAATGCTAAGCATCAAATATTTGTTTCAAGAATGATAAGATGCACTTTTTTCAGTAAGCTGTGTTTTCAAGGCTTTGAGGTTTTATGCTACCTCTAAGAATGTCTTATTTTTTAATTTTAAGAGCAAGCAATACATATTTTTTGTGAAGGAATTCATGTTTTTTTCATTAAAATATTTAAATCAACATGTATACATCAATATTAGTCAATTAATGGGGAGATAATCGAGAATCGAATCGAATCGAAATCGAATCGAAGCAAAAAAAATAATCGTGATTAATCGATGCATCGAAAAAAATAATCGCTAGATTAATCGTTTAAAAAATAATCGTTTATCCCAGCCCTAATCTGAATGCATTCTGCATTGAAGAGTTAGAGGATGTTTTCAGTGTAGTTTGTTTGGCTGATCTCATCTATTACAGACCATACGACAGGCAGTTTTCACCTGAAAATGATGAAAAAATGTTTATTGTACCTCACTGCAGTTTTGTTAATATGCATTGAATTTCCAATACAAAGGACTTTTTCCATACAATTTCTGCTATTTGTCTTTTATTACATTTGGAAATTTGACACCTGCTAGTGCCATTTCTGTTTAACACCTTGTAGTGTTAATGATTTCCAACACTGAGTTTTGTTGTCTTCACACTTAACTGGTGTTGGTGTTGAATAAAGCAGTGTTCATTTTTAACACTTTATTTTAACACTAACGTCAGTGTAATGTGAATACAACACCATAAAGTGTTCGGTGCTTCCCTGGGGCCAGGCTTGGTGATATTGAAGGGAATCTGAGGCTCATGATGACCCACAAGCAGCGTTTCCGTCGAATTGTTATTCACGCGGGTGGTAATGACGTTCGGCGGAAACAGTCCGAGGTGTTGAAGCTGCAAGTCGCCGCCGTGTGCAAGCTGGCTAGCACAATGGCCGACACTGTCATCTTCTCTGGGCCCCTACCTAGCACTAGCAGTGCAGAAGCATTCAGCAGACACTCGGCTTTCAACCGCTGGCTGTCTGGCTGGTGCCCTCGAAGTGGTGTTGTTCATGTTGACAATTGGAGTGCCTTTTGGGGAAAGCCCGGTCTCATCCGCTCGGATGATATCCCACCCAACGTTGGCGGGTACATCCCTTTTGGCTAAGAATTTGGCCCTGGCTCTAAACTGTTCTGCTCGGCTCAAATGACGATGCAGAACTGAGGCCCGGGTGCAGAGCTGCTCTGCCACAACCTCTGAGCCCCCATCTGTTCAGTTACTAGCCTCAGAGGCTAGTCAGATTGAAACTGTGTGTGCATGTGTGTGTGTGCCTGTGTGTGCTCAGTTACTAGCCTCAGAACCTAGTCAGATTGAAACTGTGTGTGTTCCCCGCTTGAAGTCTAAAGCACTATATGCGAGGAAATCTGACCTAGGTGTCAGACACAGTAACTTAATAAAAGTTCAGACAGACAGAAATAGTTCTAGCGGTAGGGTTGTTAAATGTGGTTTAATGAACGTCAGATCAATCTCGTCTAAATCGCTTCTCATAAACGAACTTATTATAGACAAGGGCTTGGATCTGTTTGCGCTCTCGGAGACTTGGCTCCAACAGGACGACTACGTCAGATTGAATGAGTGCACTCCTCCGACGCATGTTAACTACCAGAAAGCCAGAGCTACAGGTCGCGGCGGTGGTGTTGCGATTATATCACACACCAACTTGGTTCTTAGTCCCAAAACCAACAACGCTTTTCACTCGTTTGAAAACTTAACACTTTCAATCACCTGTCCTGGG